GACTCATAGTGACCCCTCCTTGGGTTTCCGAGGCAGTATCACTACGGAAGTAGGATTGCCCAACCTTCCTTCCCAGGAGTGGCTGGTGGGTTTGAACCGCCAGCCTTCTGGTGAGCAGTCAAGTGCCTTAGGCACTATGCTACCAGAGCTCCTGAGATAATCTTAGTGCTTGATGATTGGTCGAATTGATTTCATTTTCTTTCTCTGTCTCACAAAAACATAGATTCTTTCACAAATAGTTTCCGTGTATTTATTTATACATGGCACCTTGGCACAACGTCTATACATAAAAAATACTAAGTAAATGTCTATAGAATTTAACTGAATTATATCCTGATTTATCTTGTCTTATATAGTAATATGTAGTATCTAAACCTTATATACTTTCATTTAAGTATTTATCATCTGAAAAGTATTAAAAATACATTTTTTGTCCAGAAAATAATTTTTTAAATCTCTTCCAAGGAACAACTATTTACTTACAAATTTCATACATAAAATTAGCAGAATACTGCACAGTACATCTGGGAAGTGATGATAGAACTCAATTATTACAGAATATATAATTAAAAGTCCCCATATAAATAAGCTTTAGAATATGTGCTCAAATGGACTTTTTATAGTTTATTTCTGTAACAATCGTTCTGACTACATGTCCATATTTGGAATTATAAATATGAAATCATTTTTTTTTATTTCTTGTTACCATATGAAATTACTGAGATTTTATGCATAATATCTAATCTGCAGTCACACTGCTGACTTACCCAGGACATTTAGGCTATAGCCAGTCACACACTAAGGCATAATCATTCTCAACAAAAAAACACTTCTTTCTGACATCCACTCTTGCATCATTTTTAAAATTCAAAGTATTATTTTAAATAAAAAACTGCACTTCAAAAATTAGCTTATAATATCATTTATAGTAGAGGTTGATTAGTTGTTTCCTGGAAAGTCATACCTCGTTTTAGCTTCATAAATGTCTTATTTTCCCTGGCACCCTTTTTATCCACAAGACTGTTAAAAAAGAATGGCTGAAATCAGAACGATCTCTATTTACTTCCAAGTATGGGAAATATTTTTTTTTGTAGAGAAATATATCAACCATTGGTCAAATAGACCTAAAGACCTTGGTGCCTTTTCTCTGGAATTATCTATATGGCTCAAGCTCTTCTTTATAGGCACAGATAAGCCAGATTTAACTTAAATGTATCAAATTCACAAGACCCTTACACTTTAGAGCATTATACTAAAACAGAGAAAAAAAATCATAAAATAATACAGGTCACAGTAGGCAAAGAATCAGTATCAGTAAAATTAGTATTGCCAACAACACTAAGTCACTGATCTGGATAATCTTAAAAGTCTGTTTTCTGAAATTAAAAAAAAAAAAAATGGAGTGGTAACTTTCTTAAGTTTTTAACAGGTCATGATTAATCAACCTCCAATCTATAAGAAGCTTCCCGGCTATGGAAGCATTGCACTTACCCATGATGGTTAGGGCTGTAGCTTTTGTTAATTCTTCTTTCATTGACTCTATTACTTCTAAATGACCACCATCCAGGTTGCATCTGTTTATAGTTCCATTTCCTGAACTGATCCAATAAAGCTTGTTTTCCATATAGTCTATTGATAGACCTGTAATTAAATTAAACAACATAATGGTAATCACTTAAACTGTAATTTTCACCTAGCCAATTGATTTGAGGGGAAAAATAAAGGTTGCAAACTCAGATTTTCATCTTAAAAAATAAGATCTGGCTAATAGGGAAATATACATACATAGTTTCTACTGACTGAGAAACATAATATAATGTTATAGTCACTTACTATTATTCCTGTTGATTATCATAACAATTGTGTGTCATTGATAGAGATAAGGATTCCATTTTACTGATAAAGCTATACAAGGTCACAGCTAATTCGTGGAAGTTACATGAATTTTAAGAATATTTCTCTATTTCCAAACTGAGTACAGGCCCTTTTCATTATATCATTTTCCTCAGCAAGTTTTAGTGTATTATGACTTATGTGGATTACTAATTTCACTGCTAAAATTTCTAACTGCTCGCCTAATGTCAGTAAAATTTACTTTAGGAAGATACACATTTTTTAATATGTATATTTTTTGTCATTGAGAATATACACAGCAGAACTTACACTAACTAGTTCAACAATTTTTATATACACAATTCAGTGATATTGATTACATTCTATGGCTTGTGCAAACATTCTCACTCTCCTTTTCTGAGTTATTTCTCCAACATTAACATAAACTCATTACCTGATCTTTTGAGTCGCTGCTGTTAATCTCATGAGAGGCAGATAGTTCTTAAAAGACCATCATGCTCAAGGTTGACATTCTTTATTAGGTAAGCTAAACTCTCCTCGGAAGGAAGGTTGGGCAATCCTACTTCCATAGTGATACTGCCTCGGAAACCCAAGGAGGGGTTGCTATGAGTCAGGTATGACTCGACGGCATATAACAACAACAACAACAAACTATTGTTTGGTTTTGAGTAGACTTCAGGGAATATTTTTGGATTAAAGTTTAAAGATTATTTCAGGACAATGGTTTCATGGATTTATCCGTTCAATGACGCCAAAAGTCTGGAGTCCAGGAGAATTGGAAATTCTGTTCTGAAATTTCACCCTTTTCATCTGGATTCTTCTGTAGAATCTTTGAGCGAAATATTTAGCAATGGGAATTGGTCCAGTTCCTCTGGTCTCATGGCAATAGAAATTTGTTCATGGAGGAAATTACCTACCCATTCCATTTCTTCCTCCTATCTATCCTGACTCTCCTTCATCTATTGCTCCAGGTGAGTAAAGATCAATTACTGTGTGATAAGAGCTGCTTGTAAGATTTTAAGACCCCAAGCACTACATAAAGAACTAGGAGGTAGAACAGAAGAACTGCATATGTTACTAGGTCATTAACAGGGATGTTGCATGAAATCATGACCCTAAGCCTCCAAATCAAGGGACAAAATCTCATAAGGAGTTTAGTTGTACATAAGGAGCCTCCATCACTACTCTGTTTCTTTTTTGTTAATGGTGGAAATATATCTATCACACAACTTTTTTGAATTGCCAATTCAAACTTTTACAGGTGTATAATTTATAGACAACAGTTATTTTAATTGGCTGTATCTTAATTAATGTGATTTTTTTCATTACCATAAATATAAGCTCAACAATACTCTCTCCTTCCCTCTCTCTCCCACTCCTGGTAACAACTAACAAATTTGTTCTCTACATTATTGTTGTTAAGTGCCACACAGTCTGGTTCTGACTCCCAGCAATCCTCTGTGCAACAGAACAAAACTGCCCAGTCCTCTGCCATCCTCATAGTCAATGCTATGTTTTAACCATTGTTACAGCCACTGTGTCAATCCATCTCATTGAGTATCTTCTTTTTCACTACCAAGCATGGTGTCCTTTCTCCAGGTACTGGTCCCTCCTTGATAACACATCCAAAGTACATGAGACAGTGTCTTGTCATCCTGGTTTTCCTGGTTTCTAAGGAGCATTCTGCCTGTACTTCCTTTGAGACAGATTTGTTCCTTCTTCTGGTAGTCCATGGTATATTCTTTTTTTTTTTTTTTTGCCAACACCATAATACAAATGGGTCAATTATTCTCCTTTCTTTTTTTATTCTTTGTACAGTTTTCGTGTGCATACAAAATGACTGAATTAGGTGTACCTAAGTCCTCAAAGTGACATTTTTGCTTTTTAACACTTTAAAGAGGTCTTCTGCAGTAGATTTGCCCAACTGTCTCTATATGTTCACCTTTTCTTATGTTTTTATATAAGAGGGGTCATACAGTGTTAGTCCTTCTGTGATTGACTTATTCCATTCAGTATAATGTCTTCAAGTACCATCCATATTTTAGCATGCACCAAGACTTCATTTCGTTCACTAGTGTAGTTGTACTCCATTGTATGTATGTGCCACATTTTGCATATCTGTTTATCAGTTGATAAGCATTTAAGTTGTTTCTACCTTTTGGCTATTGTGACTATTGCTACAATAAACATTGGTTCATAAATCTCTGTTTGAGTCTCTGCTTTCAAGTCTTTTGGGTAATATAGAATGTAATTTCTGAGTCATATGGTAGTTGTATTTTTAGTTTTCTGGGGAACCACTACACTGTTTTCCACAATGGCTGTACCATTTTCTATTCCCACCAGCAATAGATAAAGGTTTCAATCTCCCTATATCCTTGCCAGGGAGCTCTGGTGATATAGTGCCTAAGGCACTTGACTGCTAACCAGAAGGCTGGAGGTTCATACCCATCAGCCACGCCCCAGAAGAAAGGTTGGACTATCTACTTCCATAGCGATACTGCCTCAGAAACCCAAGGGGGGTCGTTATGAATTGGATCCTACTCCACAGCAGTGGTTGCATTTTTGTGTGTGTGTGTATATCCTTACCAATAATTTTTATGTTCTTTTTTTTTAAAAAAATCTTAGCCAGCCTCAAAAACCAAACTCACTGCCATCAAGTCGATTCCACTTCATAAAGACTGCCATTGGGTTTCCAAGGCTGTAAATCTTTACCAAAGAAGATTGCCCCATCTTTCTTCTGCAGAGCAGCTGGTGAGTTTGAACCACTGATCTTTTAGTTAGCAGCTAAATGCCTTAATCACTACACCACCAGAGCTCCCTTTGCCATCATGTTGTTGTTGTTATGTGCTCTCGAGTTGGACCTGACTCATAGCGACCACTCCTTGGGTTTCCGAGGCAGTATCACTATGGAAGTAGATTGTCCAACCTTCCTTCTGGGGAGTGGCTGGTGGGTTTGAACCGGCAGCCTT